ATTTGATGTGTGTATGTGACGAAAAAGTCATGACGAATGTTTTCCTAAGGCTTGGAGTCCTATTGGGAACTTTTTCCCTGAGTCTTCACAAAATAGCCCATAGCCGCTCTTTCGTAAGACGATGGTCTTGTGCCATAAATGCAGGACATCAAAGAAAAATAGGAAGTGGTTAGAATTTCTAAAAGGGTGTCTCAATTCTAGTTTTCTAGGACGGTCAATAGGAACTCCTAGAGCTAGATCCTAGGCTCCTAAGGAGGAGAAGAGAAGACCTCACAAAAATGAGGTCAACAGATACAAACCTGTAATTTCACCAATTGATTAGAAGAGAGAGTTGAGAGCAGAGACAAAAGAGCCAGTTGATCGCGAGAAGTATCAGAGGTTGGTAGGTCAGCTCATCTATCTAAGTCACACTCGTCCCGACATATCATTTGCAATAAGTGTGGTGAGTCGCTGCATGCATGATCCGAGGAAGGGTTACATAGCTACAGTATATCAGATTCCGGAATACCAGAAGCATGCACCAAGGAAGAGGTTGATTTCGCAAGAATGGCCATGTAAGAGTTGAGGGATTTTGTGACTTTGACTTGGCGAGTTGTATGGATGACAGGAGGTCCACATCTGGATACTGCATGTTCGTAGGGACAACTTGGTCTCTTAGGGAGCAAGAAAAAGTCAATAGTAGCGAGGTCAACAACAGAGGCAGAGTATAGGACCATGGCTTTTGGAGTTGCTCAGATGATGTGGTCGAGAGCCTTGTTGGTAGACCTCGAGATAGACCAAGGAGATCAAATGAAGTTGTGGTGTGATAACAAATCAGCAATTAGCATTGCCAACAACTTGGTGCAACATGATAAAACCAAACATGTGAAGATTGATAAGTTCTTCATCAAGGAAAAGCAGAATAACGGACTACTACAGCTAAGTCATGCAGCCACTGGAGAGCAAGTGGCTGACCGCCTTACCAAAGGACTTATCTCATTAGATTTATCTAGGTTATGTGACAAGATGGGCTTAGTGGATATCTTTTGCCCATCTTGAAGAGAAGTGTTGAGATTTATATCTAATGTAGGGTCTTATTTGTAAATAGAAGAAGTCTATGGATTTATTCATAAATATTGCAAGGCTCTATGTAAGCCCAAGTCATTAATGAAATTGGTATCTTTTTCAAGCAATCAATTCTTTAAAGATGAATAGAGGTTAATAAAAAAAATTGTGAAGAATGTGTTTAACGGCTTAGGCAATACACATCAGGAACTAATAGAAAAGGAACACTCGTAAAATTGACATAAAAGAGTTTTTTAAGGCTAATAACGATGATGATGATGATTACTATTTTAAATTTCATCAAGAACATTTTCTAAAGGAACACTAACAGTTATTTATGACATGCAAGTGGATTAATTTCCTCAAATTGAAAAGTTTGTACTTGCACATTGGTAACAAACAGCAGCTGATGTTGGTTAATATGGATTTGATGAAGAGCCTGCTATTCAGAGCCTTACCTTCTTGGTGGCTGCAAGTTCAGCTTCCAATGTTGCCACACGGTTCACAGCAGATTTGAGCAATTCCTCCTCTGGAGATGGCTCAGGCTTCTTGCTGAGAACAATTACCTTTTCCTCTAGCTCCCTAAGGCGCTTCATGACCACAGAAAATTCCATCAAGGAAACAGTGGGCTTGGCCTCCACGCTCTGGCTCTTTTCCACTGAATTGGAGTAGCAGGCATCCTTTTCATCCATAATCTTCTTCCGGAGGTTCTTGGACATCTTGGCCACGGTGACAACTCCCATGACAAAGGCCATGACTCCAGTTAAGATACTACCATGCAGCTTGTCATTCTTGCAATTATTGGCAATGTCATACAAACCTGCATAAAATTATAATTCAGGGATCCACTGCTACCTTCTTTTATGCATTTAACTTATGCTTCCATTAAAATTCATCACCATCATCATTACAGTCAGCATTTTCATCCCATCAGCAGAAGCTATTACAAGAGAGGAATGATTCCATGCAACTAGCCGGCTAACAAGAAATTACACGGAATAAAATTCAAATAAAAAGAAACAGATAATTGTTTACTACGAAATAAAAAAAATATTAAAGCCTGTTTGACAGTTTGAATCAAAGAATTCGTAAAAAGCTAATCTTGAAACACATTTTTAAGAATAATCGTATCATTGCACCAAGTTATTGTTGGAAGACTCAAACTTCTCACTAATAAAAAAAATTAGTGTGGAAGAAAGATTTATGAAGAACTTAAGAGATACCTTTAGAACTGGCAACCTTGTAATGTGACACTTCCTTGTTCCAGTTGTCATCCACAGTCTTGTCAACCATTGGGACATCAAAGGAAGGACACTTTTCCTGAATAATTTGGGCAATAAATTCAAGGAAAAAATAAATGCAACTCTAATTTTCATTGTAAAATCAGGGCTACCAAGCTGAAGCATTTAATGCCTGTAATGAAATAAAGCAATCAAACAGAACATAAAGTTTCCTCCCAATCAAAGCGAAAAAAAATAAGGAGCTAATGCAAAACATGCTTTCTTTGTGTACTACCCCAAGCTCTTGAAAATAAAGTGCATTTATTTCTTGACAAATTAAAATTGATCAAGATGAGAGAAATGAAACCGAGCATGGATTTTCACTCAACGAAGAGATGAAAGTCTGCTGTTGTAAACGAAATAAAATGGAAAGATAGTCCCTTTAAATAAATATTGCTCTTGTCAGTAACCATTTCAGTACCTTCATCTGATCGTAACTATCTTTCTCCTCCCGAACAGGTGACAGAGGTGGGTGCTCAATAATCCTCCGGAAAATTTGAGGGGAATTCACATCTTCGGCGGGAGTGACAGTCCCACTAGAAAATGAATCATGCCTCTTTACAACGATAACAAAGAGAAGTATTAATTAGTCCATGATGTATATTTGTCGACTGTTTATCAATTTTTTTAATCAAAATGAAGGATATTACTCCAGTATTATGGTTGCTACCTTTTGGTAGATGATCTCATCCTCAAATATCATCTTCTCATCAGTGCTGGAAGCATAGCTTGACTTTAATGACTTGGCCTCACCACTTTGAATAATCTTCAAACAATGCAAAGACAAGTCAGGCCTCAATGTGCGTCTTTATTTTATCATGAAATAATATTAAATAAAAAAATAACGACCTTCAAAATTTCAGAATCCTTCCACGGGCCTTTATCAGAACGAAGACAACCTCCCTCATTGGCGCATTTACATGTACCACCAAGGAATTCTGGCAATTCACTGTTAACAATGCACAATAGTAGAATCAATAACACTTGTACGTGTAACATATTATCATGATAAGATTCCCTCTTTCATAATTCAAGGTTGTATGAATGATTTAAATGTCATTCACATTCCAGGCCTACCTAGAATCGATTACTTCAAGGAGTTTGCTCTGGTACTTGTTGCCAAGAACCTGGTGTGGAAATCAAAACTGATGCATTTGCATTCTTGTACCAAAGAATATAAAATATAATAGAAAAATTTGTTAGCTCACGTGAATCTTTGAAGTAGTTTTCGGGTCAAGGAATCCCTTGACCGTGTTCCATAAGAGCCTGAATCCGTGGCCAGCATTGATGATGAACATGCTGTTCAAGGTCTGAACACACACAAGAAAAAAAAAGTTAGTTTTATGTAATTATAAAAACATTACCAACATACTAAAACTATTAGGAGTGAATCATTTTAACCTCTGGATAATTATCACCATCTATCTTCTGAAGACGACCGATTAGCTCTCTTGCTGTCTTGTTGAAATTCTTGACTCCCTGTATGCAAAATTTACCAATCATCGTATTGCGAAGACACTGGAAGAGAGCTATAGGCAAACCTATGCATATCCATGTTTGTTTGACAAAACCAGAAACAATGGCGTACCACTCCTTGCACATCAAGAATAGTAGTGCTTTGATCAATGTGACATTTTGCAGCAATAGAACAAGCTGGGAACTTGACGGCGAAGATCCTCTCAAACTCCCTTACGTGATAGCTGATATACCGATCCAAGGTTGTGACTTGCATCATTTTGTTAGTATCGATCTGCCCAAGCTTTTCAAAATAAATAGGTCTGCCTTCCTTGTCAACACCATGATGACATTGTGGGTAGTACTCCAAGACTTTATCAATCTCCTTGTACTCGAAATCCTTCATAACATAAAGAGAATAAGAAAAATACATAACTTAGAGATTTTTTTACTTCTTTTTACAATGAAAATAAGAAACAAAAGGGTAACTACAAATTACTAAAAGAAGTTAATAGTAGTTTTCAGAATAAAGCAGAATCATATTATTGATATGAAAAGTGGGTATAAATACTCTTACAAGAATCTTAGAATAAAAAAGACAAAAAAAAGAAATAAGATGAAGAGAAAGATAGAAAACCTATATCTCCAATTAATTAATTCATAATAATTACTTAGAGATAAATGAAACGATATAAAATAAGAAAGCCTAAAATAAAAAAAAGAAATAAATCTAATCCAAGGAAATAAATTTAAAATAGTAAAGGAAATAAATCTGATCCAAGGAAATAAATCTAATCCTCATAACTCCTAATAAGAATAAATTATTTCCTAATATAACTTCTAATAATCCCCCTCAAATTGAAATATAGTTGACAACCATGTTCGAGATGAATTTGAAAATATTAAACTATGGCTGAAGAAAATTCTTTATGAGGCAGAACTTGAAGTCTTCACCTTGTACTTAGTAATCAACCCCAAGATCATTTAGGAAAATTTTAGTTGACTGCAGTTTCTAAAGTGTCTGTAGGTAGATGAAAGGCACTTACAGATAATGTTGCAGGAAAGTTTGTAGGGAAGTAAACAACCTATAGGAAAAGTTGACGTTTAGTGTACTGTAGTTGTCTTTGAATGCAGTTTTTGTAGTGTATGTAGGTAGGCAAAAGACTTCTACAGGCAATGTTGCAGCGAAATTTGCAGAGAAGCAGACAACCTACAAACAAAACTGTAGGATATGGCATGTAGGTAATGAAAGGAACACCTGCAGGGAAAGTTACAGGCTATGACCTACAGAAAAAAGAACCCGTACAGGAAAATTGTAAGGTATGACCTAGGGTACGACCTAAGAAAGGGCTAGTATCAGGAAAATGTTGTGGAGGAGGGTTTGCTGCAAGAAAAGTTGCAGGGTATGGCCTGAGGTATGGCCTTAGAAAGGGTCTATAGCAGGGAAAAGGTCCGGAGGAGGGTCCGCTGCAGAAAAAGGTCCGGAGGAAGATCTGCTGAGTTTCTCTCCAGTTGAGGCTACTTGCTCCATTAAACCATTTATTATCTGGGTATGACTAGGAATTAAATTTTCTAGGTTACTCAAAGAAACCAAGAAGTTGAAGTTGTCAATGTTTGAATAAGAAATATCCAAAAATTTCAAGCAGCCTGATTGGAGACTTGAAAAAATAAGTCGCTCTAGTAACAATCAATATTGACAAAGGAATAGTAGCATTGTTGTCTCCTTCAACTATAAAATGGATAGCGTAATTACTCATGTTATAAACAAGCAATAGAAAGATAAGGTAATCTGGTTACTTTGGTCCAAGCTATATTCAAAAAACACAACATAGGGAATCTTTCAACGGTAGTAGCACCAATGTTGGAAATTTCTGCCCCATAAATCCAAGTGCTCAAGCAAAGTCAGCACCTATAATGATGATAGTGTCTTATCAGTGACAGGAATCCCCCCCAGATCCAACAAACGGAGATTTACAAAGGAAGAGAAACAGAGCACTCCATCAACAGTCAATCTTGTTTCTGACACACATAGCTTCTCCAAACTTGAAATGGACAATAAATTCTTAATGCCATCATCTGAGATACTTGAGCATCTTGACATGTCCTGTTCATTTAGGCTGTTGTGTCCTCTGAAGTCAAACCTTTCGACAGAAAGCTCTAAAACTTCAAGGATGGATAGGAAAAAGAAGTGATGGCTATGTAGACGTCTAAGGAGAGCATTAGAGAGCTGAGAAGGAAGGCGCTCGAGGGTTCTCCACTGCCTCTGCCAATTCTCGACACTCTCGCTGCTTGCAGTTGCGGCTTCAATCTAGAGATCCACTTGACCTTCGCCCATTTCCATTTTCTCTTGCCTTTCTCTTCTAATTCTTCTGCATCCCCGACCAAGGGGCAGATCTAATGAGTTTTCATTGCTACGATCTTTTTGAAGATCCGCAACTGTAAGCAGGAAGACACATTTGTCCTTACTGCAGGAGTATGAGAATTGAAGAAATCTTCAAATGAGCCTGCAAACAGGCTTGCAGTTATAGCTCTGCAAGGGAAATGAAAGAAAAAAAAAATACTTGATACAATCTTGCAAGAACCAAGAAGGAAGACTGCAGTGAGTTCTCACGAGAAGTCCTACAGGTGAGCTTTCACAGGTGATAGACCTCACGGGGAGGCCTATAAGGAGAGATGGCCGGCAGGAGGGAAACTGGCAGCTGAAAAAATTGCAAGGGAAGGAGCCGGCAGGGGAAAGGCGGCAGAATGAAGTTCCTACAGCAGGAAGGGCTGCAGGAGGTAATTCCATCAGCGGGAAAGGCTGCAGGAGGAAATTTCGGCGGCAAGGTTTTCAGGGGGAGAAAGTTTTCGGTGAAAACTGAAAAGAGAAGGTGGAGGAAGGGCCCTGCAGGACAGCAAAGATTGCCGACTACAGGGAATAAGAAGTTTCCAACAACATGAGACTTTAGGGTTTGTTTCAAAGCACTGATACAAAGTTGGTTTTGAGAATTAAACAAAATTATATTATTCATATAAAAATGGGCATAAATACCCTTACATGAATCCTAGAATAAGAAAGACAAGAATAAATAAATAACATGAAAGGAAAGATATAACACCTATATCTCTAATTAATCAATTCATAAAAATTACTTGAATATAAAGAAAACGATATAAAATAAGAAAAGAAATAAATGCAATCCAAGAAAATAAATCTAAAATAGAAAAAGAAATAAATCCAATTCAAGGAAATAAATCTAAACCTCATAACTTCTAACAGGAATAAATTATTTCTTAATATAAATTTTAACAAGTACTAAATAATTTGTATGAGCTGTATGATCATTTTGATTGTTTTTTTAATCATGGATTTCTCTTTTAACCTAACTTCAACTACCATTATTTTTCATAACTGTGATTGCATGATTAACAGTGAAGTAGCAAGTCATGGAACTAACGTGAAGATAGAAATAAAAACCTTAGTTACATATCCATAAATAAAGCTTTATACCATGAGGGAAAATCATTACCTCAAGGATTGTGTCAGCACCAAATTCTTTCCTCCATTGAAGCATATCAGACCACATTTGCTTTGTCTTCTCGATATCAAACTTCCTGGCCTTCAGAAATCTGCACTATATGTAATGATAACAAACCATAAAGTTCAAGTACTCATTTAATGCTGACCAAAAGAAACGCTTTTCACTTAATGATAATAGGTCTCCTTAGGTTGAAAATGCACCTCTAAGCTTGAGGGGGAAAAAAAAGCCTTGCATTATAGAACACATTTGAAATAATGAAAAATATGATAAATATGATGCAAACTTTGATGTTATGCCAAATCTATAATCAGTAATATGTAAATAAAAATACTAAGAACACATATCATATCTTGTCTAGGATTAACCTGAGCATCATATGATAGTCATCATGTCTTGAGGGAAGAAGCTCCTCTAATATAAGTGTCTGTCTAAAGGCATCCACAATTTGCATCTCCTCAGCATCGCGGTCATCCTCTATGGATACAGATATGACCCGGTTACTTCTCCTACCCTTTTTATTCATTGACCGCCTGAATCTGCTTGAGTTATTTATTCCCTTCTTCCTGAAAGATCCGAGTTTTGATTCTTCAAGTCCTTTATTCTCCTCCATGATATCAAGACCTGCATACAAGGAAAATTTACATTGTCATTTACAAAGAGCTCTCAAAGTAAGTTCACCATTCAAAGCAAGATGATCATTACCATGCAAAATGATCAGTACTTAATTTATCTAGTAATGATAATAATCTGCTTACAACAAGAACTATTTATGGGATATAAAAATGGTTCCCATCTTTGCTTTACACTAGGTGAGCAGCGTTAAGAAAGGATTATGCTTACAAGAGGCAAATTATGCACAAAACAAAGCCCAAAATAAAAATTTCACCCATCCACAAGGATCTCATATTCCTAGAGAACGATAGAGAAAGAGAGCTCTCGAGTATGGTTTATTTAAATAGGCTTTCTAATAGATTGTCGTTGCAATAGCTTTTTTGATATAGAATATAGATGATATGCTTTTATGCTCAATAGATTGGCTTGGAGGATGACAACAAGATCGACCAAGATTTCCTTAGTACCATGGCTGAGAGCCTTTGTTAAAAGAGATTTTATAGATTGAGATTGTAAATGGCAAAAAGCATTATGCTTTATTAAAAGCATCAAGAAGTGTCAAAAGCTCAAATACAAACCATTGGGGAATAAATTATGCTTTAGTTATAACAATGATATAATGTTTCCATCATAATCAGGCCAACCACCTGACCAAAATATACATGCTACTTTCTTATTTCAGTAGAAAGTTGAGATATTTTTCTAATAACCTATCCCATATATATATATATATATATATATATAATTAGGAGAGCATTGTAAAACACTATCTCAAAAGATATAAATATTACTTTATAATAATTTTAATTACTTAAATAAAGAATTTCATTCAATATTTGATGGGTTTCTGCATTTTAAATCAACAAATATTTCCCCTAAATAACCCAAAAGTTAGATAAGGTTTAGATTAATATAAGTTAGTTTATTACCTTTCTTTAAGAGCAAGCCCCTATAGTTAATTATATCTTAAGAGATAAAAATATTTTAAGAAAAATCACGATTAAGATTGGGGTTATGTCTTCATGAATTTCAAAGTTTAGGCTTTGCAATTAATTATGTGTTCAAAAGTGACATTTCTTTTTGAAATCCAAAGGAAAAAAGAGTGTGAAGTGTCAAGGATACCGGAAGCTCAATGACACTTCTATTGTTTGGCTTTATCAACTTTAAATTTGAAGAAATTTTAACATTTGAATTAACATTTTATTAGAATGTTATAACTCATATCCCAACACTGTCATTGTCGGGTTCCCAGCCTCAGAAGTGAAAAGTAGAGGCTTGCGTTAGATAGTCGACAGTCAGCATAAAATTTGTCAAAAAATCATGCCAGTAGTCTTTTTTTATCATTGCGTAAATGTTAGGGCGTCCCCTGGAAGCAGTGCGCTGATTTTTAATATTTAAATTGCTTGTGCTCCTCAAGTAGGTTTCGATATAGGTTCTAAAGATATATTCAAATGAACTAAAGGAAAATTAGAGGAGGAAACTTCAAATGAATTAATTGAATTATCTTTTGGCTACTACTCTCCATATGTTCAAAAACTTGTTCAGCGTAGTTTAGCGCCTAATCAGCTATCAAAAGAAAGGTTACAGAGTCAGTCGATAATGCAGAATGTTAACTCAAAAGAAGATGTTGAATTCGACGTTGAAGGGTCGGTCAATGATGTGGAATTTTACTTGGTTATTACTAGCGAACTGAAAGAAGAGTGCCTTGAAGCAGAAGAAAACTTAGAAGAATCTCAGGTAGAGAATGCTCCGACAGAGTTTGAAGAGGAGATCAAGTCAACAGTTGATAAATTAAGGAAGCTCAATCTAGGGACTGAAGATGACCCTAGACCCACTTTCATCAGCTCATTATTATACGACAGAGAATTCCCAAGCCTAATTAAGTTGTTATCAGAGTTCAAAGATTGTTTTGCATGGAGCTATGACAAAATGTCATGATTGTCTCCAAAGGTTGCAGTTCACAGACTTGGGGTGGATTAGAGCATGACCCCGGACAAACAGGCTCCTAGAATGATGCGCCTCGAAATTGAGTAACAAGTTATCATTGAAGTCAAGAAACTAATAGAGGCTAACTTCGTAAGAGAAGAGCAATATCTGATGTGGTTAGCCAACATTGTACCAGTCAAAAAGAACGGTCAAATCCGGATCTGCGTCAATTTCAGAGATTTGAATAAAGCATGCCCGAAAGACGAATTCCCGTTGTCGATTCCGGAACTGATGGTAGATATTGCATCGTTGTATGAAATTTTCTCTTTCATAGACGGATCATCTGGATACAACCAGATCAAGATGGCACCAGAAGATGCAACACTTATAGCTTTCAGAACGACAATCGAAATCTATTGCTACACAGTGATTGTGTTTGTACTGAAGTATGCCGGATCAACTTACCAGCGGGCCATGACGAGAATTTTTAATGATCTCATCCACAACCAAGTTGAGTGCTATGTGGATGATTTAAAATATTATAAGTGTTTATACTCCTCAAGTAGATTTTGATATAGGTTCTAAAGATAAATTCTGGAATGACTTAAAATACTTAATACAAATGATGCCTCTTGAAAAAAAATTTTTATTAAGGAAATTTAAATGCACATGTCGATAGAGTGATAGAAAATTTCAGAAATATTCATGGTGACTACGGTTTTGGAGTGATTAATGAAAAAAGTAGAGTCATATTAAATTTTCTTTTGCGTATGATTTTGTTATTGTTAATATTATATTCAAGAAAAGAGATGAACATATTATTACCTATAAGAATGACTAATAAAACACAAATTGAATAATTTCTTATAAAAAGAAGAGATCATCGAGAATGTAAAAATTGTAAGGTCATTCCAAGTGAGAATTACTCAACATCGATTTTTAATTCTAGATTTTAAGATGAATAGTTTTAAAATAAAGAATACTAGGAATCATCATCATAGAATTAGATGAGGGTACCTAAAAGACGCAAATAAAATTATTTTTACAGAAAAATTCAAGAATTCAAGATTTGGAATGTTCATGAAGAAGCAAATTTTATGTGGGATAAAGTAATAAATATGTGGGATAAAGTAATAAACATTATTAAATAAGTGGCAAAAGATGTACTTGGAGAATAAAAAAAAAAATTATATAAATAAAAATAGTTTGTGATGGAATAATAATGTGTAAGAAATATAAAATATAAGAAGTTATGAGTAACAGCTTAGAAAACTGAAAAAATATCAAATGAACCGTAGGGTGTCTAAGAGAACAATCTATGACGCTAAAATTTCTGTTTTGGTAATCTTTATAATATATTAGATACAAAGGAGGGTGAAAAATATATGAATAAACTAGCAAAACAAAGAAAAAAGAAAATTAGATTTTACTCGAGTAAAGTCAATTAATGATGAAAATCAAAAGTACTTTTCTTTAAACAAAGATATTCAACATAGGTAGATGAATTATTTTGATAAACTTTTTAATAATGTTTTTGAAAATATGATTGAACTTAGTGATCTTAATACCGTTAATAATAATAAAATTTTTCATTTTTACCGTCGCATTAGTAAAAAAGAGGTTAAGGAGGCTTAAAAAGAAAACCAAGGGTAGAAAGCCTATAGGACCAGATGATATCCCAATTGAAGTGTGGAAATATATAAAAGATTTGGGAGTTTCATGGCTTACTAAACCCTTTAAAATTATTTTAAGAACTAAAACGACGTTTAAGGAGTGGAGGAAGAGTATTTTGATTCCATTTTTAAGAATAAAGGGGATGCACAAGAGTGTGCAAATTATAGAGGAATTAAGTTGATGTGTCATACTTTAAAATTATGGGAGAGGGTAATTGAACATAGATTAAGACGCATTACAAAGATTTCTCATAATTAATTTGGATTTATGTCGGATAGGTCTACCATGGAAGCTATACATTTATTGAGAGGTTTGATGGAGAGAAGTTCAAAGATAATAAGGAAGATGTAAATATGATTTGTATTGATTAAGAAAAAGCTTACAATAAGGTTCCAAGATATCCTTTGGAGAGTTACAAAAATCTGCATATATACATTTAAATTTAAGTTCTATATAAGTGTAAGCATAAAAGATTACGAAATATGCACACATGTATTTATATTTAGGTATTATGCATATAAACAAGTAAAGATTAAGAAAAAACCATAAACACATATATATATTTAGATATTACACATTGAAACATATAATGATTTAGGAAATAGCAAACTTATATTTAAAATTAGGTATTATACATATAAACATATAATTTTCAAGGAAAACACTAAACCTATATTTGAAATTAGGTATGATAAATATAAGCACATAAAGAACGAGAAAATCTGCACATATGCATTTAGATTTAAGTGGTATATAAGTGTAAGCATACAAATTCGAGAAAATCAGCAACTATATTTAGAATTTAAGTATTATATATGTAAATACATAGAATTAAGAAAACTTGGAATCACACGTTTGGAATTCAGATATTAGATATGTAAATATTTAAATATTTGGAAACACATCAAATATACATTTGAAATTTATTTATTAGATATGCCAATGGTTAAGGATTAAGAAAAATTGGAAAAATTATATTTGAATTTAGGTGTCACATATATAAGTGCTTAAGGATGACAAAGAACAACACACACATATGCATTTGGATATTACATTAATAAGCTCATAAGGATTTAGGAAATTGCATATATACATTTGTTTAGAGATAAGAGTATAATGAAACCAAACCAAAATATGTATATATATATA